GCCCGCGGCGCTGGGAAGGCCCAAGGGAGCCCCGGCTCCTCTTTGCAGACGAGGAAACTGAGGCCCGGGGCACCTGCCCCCTCTGCCCACCCCCAGCCCGCTCGCCCTGGGGCACCTGGCCTGGGACCCGTCCGAGACCCGGGGTCTCCAGCTGCGCACGGAGAATCCCAGCGAAAGCGCTCTGTAAAGGGCCCACCCGCGCCCGCAGCGGCTGCACAGTCGCGATGCCCCCGTTTGGGGGCCTGTGGTCAGAACAAGGGGCGCGGGGGCAGACCAGGTGCCCACTGACCTTTGTCGGGCTGGGCAGAGTGGCAGCTTCCTCCTGCGAGGCCCTGGCCTGATTAGGTTTTTGGAACGTGAATTTAATCTTCCCGGTTGATTGTCTCTCCCGTTTTTGGATCAGTGTTTATCAGCTAAAGCTGGAAGGGGTCAGTTGCTATGCAGGGAGGGCCCTGAGGGCTTTTGAGGAAGCGGGAACGCGGGCTACCACAAAGCCTCTGCCCAGCCCTGCCTGGCCAACTTGGGGGCAGGGGACGCTAGCCTTTGGCTTCCTGATTAAACCAAATCTAACCGTGCCCTTTATCAGAAAGGCAGCTACTGCAGCATTCCACCAGAGGTAAAAGACAACTTAACTAAAATATCATAACCTTCAAAGGCCTTTAGTATTCTGAACCGCGGAAACTATGTGGTCAGACTCTTTCTTGCTCCAGGTGGGTAAATTTAGCTTTCCAAAATTATTGTGGCGTTTTTAGCCTCAAATCTTGGGAAATTAAAATAATTGGGGGAATCTTAACTAAAATAAATAAAACATGGAGTCAAATTCCGTAACTGTTGTATGAGTTGAAAAAGTTGAAGACTGTAAGGCTGCTTTTCTGGTGATACATAATGGGGTGAGGTGCAACCAGAGCCCTGAGTCTTCGTTCCACTGCTGCCTGGTTGTGTGAGCTTGGCCTGTACCCTCTGCCTTGGATCAGACCAGGGGGTTCTGAACCAGATGATTCATATGGTTATAATTACGGTTATGATATTCATACATTCAGTAAATATTTGAGCTCAATCCTTACTCTATGTCACTGACCTAATGACCAGGACAGATAAAATCCCTGCCCTCAGAGTTTACATTCCAGTATGGGAGACAGACAGTAAGTGAACAGATACATGCGTAATGTGCCAGGTGGTGGTAGGTGCTCTAGGGAAAAATAAAGAAGGGTAAGTGGAACAAAGTGCCAGGTGGAAAGCTCAAGCAGGCTCCTCTGAGGGAGTGGTATTTGAGCAAGTCTCAGAAGAAGCAAGAGAATAAGCCACATGGATAGCCGGAGAAAAGGCATTATAGGAAATAAAAAGTGCAAAGGCTCTGAGGCTTGGTTTCTTTGTGGACCAGCAGGGAAGCCATTGTGTCTGAGTGATGGGAGATGAGGTCAGAGAAACAATGCAGGTGAAGAGAAGTGGTCATGTGCTGGAGGTATCTTGAAGGTAGAGCCCAAAAGATGTGTTGATAAACCAGATGTAGGGTACGAAGGGGAGAGAGAGGAGTCGAGGATGAGTTCAAGATTTGTTTGATCACTTTATTAATTCAGCATTTTTCTCAAAAAAAAAAAAAATCTATAGAACAGGGACAAAAAAAAATCAGAAAAAAAACTATAGGAGTTTAGTGAAATATAAAACATTGCTTTTGGGGAAAAAAATAGTGGTAACTGGATAATTATTTAAGTTCCTGGAGAAAACTAAAGTTATGCTCTAGACTCCTGGGTCGAGGACATCACTCACACTACTTCAATATCATAAAGGTGACTGATGTTTTAATACCGGCGGGGCCCGATAGAGGTTGGTAAAGGGCAGTCATTTGAACATGTGTCCTCTCCACAGATCGACCGTGGGCGCTCTGCTGGCATCCCAGGTAACCTGTTCTAATGCCTCCCACTTACGTGCTCCCTTGTGTTGTCTCCTTTCCCTGCCCTTTCTTCTGGCCTTTAGTGGTTTGTAAAACTCACCACAGGCACCTCCACAGGTCTTTCTCCTTGGTGATTACAAATAGTGATGAATGAAAAAAAGCTGTATAGCCTCGCGTGTGGGGGGATCGTGAAGTGGCATTCTAGACCTCCTCCCGCCTGCACCTGGGGAATTGTCCTTGGGCTGCCAGTGGCAAAGAGGGTGGTGGGGTAGGCAGCACTGCCTGCCACATACGCCCTTTCACTTTATTCTTAAAGCTAGGATGGAAATTCTACGATGCAGATGACTACCACCCAGAGGAAAATCGAATGAAGATGGGAAAAGGGATTCCGCTGAATGACCAGGTAGATGCTGTCTGTTTCTAACATAAATGTCCCAGCTGGGTGATGCTGGTTGAAAGCTCTGCAGTGCTTAGTGCAGTAGAGTCCCTGAGTCATGAGGTAACTCATGGACAGTGCTCCACAAGCCAGGCACACAGTGGGGCCTCCACATATGTTAACCTTGGCCATGAACTTCTCAACTCAGCATCAGTGTGATGCCGCCACCCTCTGCCCTAACTTGTACAGGGTCTGCCAGGACACTTGGCTGAAGAATTTTAATCTGCAGAAAGTAATCCCCAAGAGGGCCTCATACATGGGGAAGTTCATCTTCTCTTCCTAGGTCCTATTAGCCTGCCAGCATCATCAGACTCTGGCATCTACCCCCAAGCCAGAGTGATCTTTGCAAATTCGAATCTGGCCCTTTGGAATTTTCCCACCAATCTCACTCCACTCTCCTACATGCCCTGTCCCCCATCCCTATCTCCCCTGGAGCCATCGTGGCCCCTTTCAGTCCCTCCTACTGCCCTGCTCCTCCCCAAGGCCTTTGCATCTGCTGGTCCCACTGCCTGGAATGTGCTCCCTTTCCCTCATCACTGAGTTAACTCTGTTCATCCTTCACATCTCAGCTTCTATGCCACTTCTTCAAGGAAGCTCTCCCTGACTTAAGTAAAATCTCCTGTAATAAACTCTCATAGCACATATCCCTTATTGTCCATGTCCCAGTTGCAACTTGGCATTTGATGGTATGAGAATTGATTAATATTTACCTCTGCAACTAGATTTTACTGCCAAAGTACAGGGACTATGGCCATTTCTGTTAACCATTGTCTATCCCCAGGGCCTGTCACACAGTAAATGTCAGAGAGAATATTTATGAGTGAATGAATGAATGAGAGAAGGACTTGAATGATTAGCACCTCGTTCCTGTACGCTCCATCATGAGGCCATTTCCTAGACAGAGGGTCTCTCTCGAGCCAGAGTTACAAACTGTGGATTCGTTGACTTAACGAGCTGCAGCCCAGGAGACACTGTGAGGGTAGGTCAAGGTCCGGGTCCACAGAGCAACTGTAAGCAGGGGCCCCAGCCAGACCCACATGCCAAGTGGGTCCAAAGGGCAGGAACAGAATGAAACTGGCCAGAGACCAGCATTGTGGCTTTCACTTTCCGTGAACTTGGCTCATACCCAGTTGTGACCCCACTATCTCACTCTCTTTCCTTTTCCTGGCTTGAAGGACTTGAGTCCGTAAACCATTAGTAGGTCTAATCTAGAGCATTCTAAGGGTGTAGTTCTTTGTTTTAGGGAGTCCATATTGAGTATGCAATGATTCAAGCTTTGAATCATCAAAATGAAGTTTGCAACATTTTACTTTAGAAAATAGGAGTGAACCATAAAAGAGATACAGAGTAATAATTTAAACATAATACTGATATTATACTAGAGCTGATAGACATAATAAAGATAACCAGGTTCCGCCACTAAGCTTGGGTTAGTCTCTCTGTGCCTCATTTTCCTCCCCTGAAGTAGAGATGGTACCATTTCATTTGGTTCTTGGAAGGATTAAATGAGATAATACAAAAATATGCAGAGAAGTACCCAAAGCATTCAATAAATATCACATTATTGTTGCTAATATCTACATAGACATGTATATGTAACATTTCTATAGTGTGTAAAATGTAACTGCCAGTATTTACTGCTTGGTGAGTTGCAAATCAGAGTTAAGTTAAAGAACAAAGTAAAGCAACACAAATGGATGGATTTTAAAATGGCATTTAAACATTCTTTCTCTTATTCACAAGTGAGGCTTATTAAGTGGGCAGTATGGATGAGGGGCAGGGGGAGTCCATTAATTAAAATTAAACAATATGTAAACTCCAGTTCCTGGGTTGCAATGCCACATTTCAAGTGTTCAACAACCACATGTGGCTTGTGGCTACCAGTCCAGACAGTGCACACAGAGGACATTTCCATCACAGGAGAAAGCTCTATTGGATAGCACTGGTCTACAAAGATATGCTCTTAGCGTGATGATGATAATGATGATAAAGAATTTCCAGTTCCAGTCAAGATGGCGGGGCTAGAGAATGTCACCAGAATGGTACTGGAGAGCCTCGGTATACCATCTCTAATCCACCCAGTCTTGGATTATGCCCTTCCCTCTGCCTCGTAGGCACTGCTGCAGTTGAAAGCCTCTTTATCTTTCAAGATTTCTTCTTCTAAGGCCTCTCCCCGTACTGTGTTATCATAGACTGTCTTAGTATATGTTTTTATAGCCCTTATCACTGCCCTGGGGCTAATTTAGTTGATCATCTACCCATCCACCTCTTCCATCAGGTTGTGGCCCATTTGAGGACAAGGACAACACCATTCATATTTATATCCCCAGTACACGATATGGTGCTTTGCACATATTAAGTATTCTTTGTTTGTGGAATTAAATCCCAGTGCATACCAAGTTCATCAATTAAAGCTCTTTTAAAATTTCAAAGTTAGAAATACAGTTTATTTCAACTATTAAATCAGTCAAAAAGTACTATTTAGAGTCTACTCTTTCTCTTATTTAAATCTCAAAGCAGCTCAATGAATTAAATATGATCCCGCATTTTACAGATGAACAAAGGCACAGAGAAGTTAAGCAACTTGAGCAAAGCCACACAATGAAGGGAGTCTCTCTAACCTCAAAGAATCTGCTTTTCCTAATCGGTTAAAGGTCCTAATAACCCACAGAACAAATACATCACAAGAAGTGAATCAGTTAAATAGAGCGAGAAAGTCGTGAAAACGAGGGTGAGGATGAGAGCAAGGAGAGGTGAGGCCCTCACGAAGCACATCCATTGTAGCGGGTCTAAGCCTTAAACAGTATTTGAAGTGAGTGAAGCGGTGGCCTGGCTTTACGCAGACCAGGTCTGAGAATTCTGGTTTCCACATGGGAGCCTAGGTAGCCTCTGGGGCTGCTTTGGGAAAACCCTTCTCCTTGTGGCCCCGTGTGATTCTCCAAGGTAGGAACCCAATCATTTAATTATGACTCAGTACTTGGAAACTTCAAGAACAAAGGTCAAAGTGCTTCTCTCATCTCCAACTTTCTCTCATTGTGTTTTGTGATCAGTGGACCCAGACCTTATGAATACACGGTGATTAGATTAGTCCAGCATACATTCTGACTGGGCAAATGTCTGAAAGCATCTATTTCGTTTAAATAGTTTTACATTTCCATTTATTAACTATAGTTTCATAGCTTCTGAGGAATTTTATTATGACTGAAGCAACGTGTTTTTTCTTGACTAATGCATATATTGAGGCACTATTAAAACAATTTTTTTTAAAAAAAAGTATATTCAAAGTAAAGGTTCATTTCCTTGTATACAGGATAGAAAGCTCATTTCCCGCACATGGTTCCATAGTGTAGCAGTTAGCACAGAACTCCTCAGTTCACACCCCAGTGGAGCCACAGTCCATGGTCTACAGCCATGCCACCCTGAACAAGCCCGATGTCTGATCTCGGAAGCTAAGCAGGGTCAGGCCTGGTTAGTACTTGGATGGGAGACCACATAGGAAGACCGGGTGCTGTAGGCATAAATCATAATAATAAAAAAAAAAGGAGGAAAAAAAAAGAAAGCTCATTTCCCGAACACGTTTTCTGTTTTTAATTTGTTTCATTCTTTAAAAATATTTCAGGCATGTAGAAAGTGTAATAAATAATATAGTCAACACCCAGATAAATGAAATAACATTTATTTCCTAAGCCATAAAATAACACAGAGCTTGATCTCCACTTCTAAAGCACAAATAGACACATTTGTGCAGAGAGAGATGAGGCTATAAGCTTGTATGAAGCATGGAGCTAGACCGGAGTGTCTTGCATAAATCTTGAAAGCTATCTTTGAGGATTACAAATATTTCCACTTGCTGGATTCAAGAAGCAGCAAAGAATCTGGCTGTCTCCCCTAGACCACAAGTGGAAAAAAAGTCATTCTTGAGAACCAAAGACCTTGCTACACCCAATTCACATTATATGGAAGAGACCAAGCTAAAAATACAAAACTGGTCTAGAATTGCTGAAACTACTATGGAAATGTTTCCAACTCAGCATTCCCACAAGCAAAGAAAATCTGAAGATGAATTTACAAGCAGAAATTACAGACCGTACAAGGAAATGAACCACTATGCAGGAGAATCGGAAGAAGCACGAATGGAAGAAGTCACACTCCAAGAAACAGACATAATAGAATCAAATAGAAGACAAGAACAGGAAAATGTTTTAAAGAATGAAATATCTGAAATGAAACAATCAGCAGATGAATTAAACAATAAACTAGACATAGCTGAAGAACTAGTGGATTAAAAGGTAGATGGGAGAATATTACCCAGAGTGCAGAAGAGTGCTTAGAGAATTAGAAAATATTCCAGAAAAATTAAGAAACTGGTATGATGAAATAAGCTTCATATACAGCTAAAATGAATCCAAGAAGTAAAATGTAAGTGGGGGAGAGGCAATATTCAAAGAGACAGTAATTACCAATTTTACAGGGCATGAGTCCTCAGACTGAATATGCAAAATGAGTCTTGAACGGGATAAATAGTACAAGTGCAAAGCATCAAAGATAAAGAAGTTTATCCTACCTAAAGCTATTAAAGAGAAAATACATATTCTAGAGGATTGCCCAATATACTAAGAGCGACTTCTCTACAACAATAGATGCCCAAAGACAGTGAAACAGGTATTCAAACTTGAAGAAAAACAACTGTCAACTAAGAATTCTCTAACAACTAAAATCTTAAGAGTAAGAGCAAAATAAAGGCATTTTCTGACATACACAAAGACAGAAGAGAGAACTGTTAACTTCTCTAGTGGGAGAATTTAAAACATGTTTCTTCAAAACAGGTAAACAAGACAATAAATTATTAAGGTTATAGAATATTTAAACAACAAATATATCAACTTGACGTAAGCATTAATAAAAAATAAACATCCATTTCAAATACATTTGGAGCATTATAAAAATTGAGCATGTACTACTAGATTACATAGTACTAGTGCTACAGGCACAATTTGTTACAAATTCCAAAAAAATCAATATACCAATCACATTTTTTACCATAATGAAAAAGAATTAGAAATCAATAATAAAAATTCTCACAAATTACTAAAATGGTTGGAAACTGTATAAATAAGTAAAATTAAAAAATAAAAACATATAATTTGGGAGTTAAAAATCATAATGGAAATTATAAAATTTTTATAAATGTACAACAAAAAAGTGATATCAACTGAAATTTATGGGATGCAGTTGAAACATTACTCAAAAGGAAGTTAGAGTTTCTGAATGCATTTCTGGAAAAATAATAAGAATGGAAAGTAATGAGCTAAGCGTTCAAGTAGGAAAAAATTGCCAATAAACTGAAAGGAAGAATGTAATAGGAATGCTGAAATTAATAGAATATAAAATAAACTATGTAGGTGATGAGCAAAACTAATTGACAAGATAAAAATAGACAAATCTCTGGCAAGACTGATCAAGAAGTAGAAAAAGCACAATTAAGATTAAGAGTGAAAAGAGGGCCGTGAACAATCTGATATCAGTAAATTTGAAGACAGATAAAACTGGACAATTATATAGAAAAATGTAAATGACTGTGGGAAAATGGGCCTGGATGGCAGTGACCCGATGGCAGAGACAGTGTTCAGGGACACAATACACCCTGCTTTTTCCTCCACAAATAAAAATGACCTTACAGATGCTGCATTTGGCTTAAGAATCAGGAGGGTCCAGAGATTTGTCTATACGTGTAGTCTCCTCCTGCAATCTCAAATGTTGTAGTTACCAAAACTGAATCAAGAAGAGAAGACCTAAATATAACAATGTTCATTTGAAAAATTGAATCAATAATCTGAGATCTCCCCTCAAAAAAGGCCCCAGGCCCAGATGGTTGGCTGAAACAATAAGATATTTATTTCTCACGGTTCTGGAGGTTGGCAGTCCAAGGTCAGGATGCCAGCATGGTCAGGTTCTTGGTGAGGGCCCTCATACTGGCTTGCAGATGGCTGCCTTTTTACCGTATCCTCACCTGTGGGAGGTAGTCTGAGAAGTTGACAGTTCTCCCTTCTATCTTTGTGTATGTCAGAAAACATCTTCACTTTACTCTTACAGTTAAGATTTTAGTTGCTAAGTGAATTCTTGGTTGATGGTTGTTTTTCCTCAACAGTTTGAACATATCTGTGCATGTGTGTCTGGTGTCTCTTTTTATAAGGGCACTAATCCCATCAAGATGACCCCACCCCTTATGACCTCATCTAAACCTAATGATCTCCAAATAACATCACATTGGGGAAAAGGGAGTTAGGGCTTCAACACATGAATTTGGGGGGAGATAAACATACACTCCATAACAAAAATATATGGGATACAATGTACAAAAATAGAAGAGGGAAAGCTATTCTACTCATTTTATGTGGCTAGTATAACTTTGATACCAGAATTTAATGTGGACTATACAAGAAAAAATGCAGGTCATTCTCAATTATATAAATGTAAAATTCCTAAGTAAAATGGTAGTAATCAAAAATATAAAAGAAAGGACATTTAAAAATGCATCATGTTTCTGGAAAACGCATCAAAATAATAAAGGATGGGGGCACACATGGGGATATGGTTGGGACATAAAACAAGACTGAGTTGAAAAGTGTTGAGGCTGTGTTATAAGTACATAGACTTATTTTATACTATTTTGTCTGCTTGTGTATGTTTAAACTTTTCATAATAATAACTTTAAACAAATGCATTATGGCCAATCAGTATTACCCCCAGGAAGCAAGAGAGAACATGTCTCAGGAAGATTTTATGCGTGTGAAACATTGCAGTGTCCTATGTTAACTTGTCTTTGGGAAAATGTAAATTTCTTACAATGCTGTTCATCTGAAGGGAGTTTTGATTTGGGAGGATTTGAAGAATAAGACCAGGGGATAGCTGACATATGGGTTTCTGTGAATACCTCCTTGAATTTCAGATCAGAGGCACTAAAATAAATCATGTAATACAATAAAGAGATTTGTAAACTGATTAGAACCAGGGAAAACATATATCCAATGGGGAGATTAAAATGAGGGAGATACATACTGGTATTTCAGGGCAATTTTTATTATTGTTAAAAAAGACCTTGATGTCTGAACCAGAAAAATGTTTCTGTGCTTAACTGCCCAGTGACGACTCGTCAGCCTTGTATGTGGCTTGCTTCTCAAAACCATGAAGCTCTCTCTGGACCTTAATTAACACTGACAAACATGATTAACTGTGTTCCTGTGCAAACAAACAATACCTGGAAGTCACTTTGTGTCTGCTTTCATTTCAGGACAGGATCCCATGGCTCTGCAACTTGCATGACATTCTACTAAGGTAGGAGCATCCGGCCTTGGCATAAGCCAGTGAGTAAAGAAGACCCATCAGAAAGTACGGGGGAAAAAAATACACTTGTGAAATCACAACTGATCGATGATAAAGGATCTCAGAAGTGGAATGCATCTCTATCGAACAACCAACAATGATTTTAACCAGCTACAGACATGTAGTTTAGTCAGGTTCTGGAGACAGAGCTAGAGAGCTCCACAGTTACTAGCTGGGAATCTTGGTCAGCCACTTGGCTTCCACAGCCTGTTTCTTCATCTGAAAACAGGAATAAATGTAGTTCCAGTCGCAGATTATTGTGCGGAATTAGCGCAATAAAGCAAGGGTGGCACTTAGAACAACATCGATGCATAGTAGGTGCACAAAAAATGATAACACAGTGCCTGAGCCATGTCCTACATCTATAAGAGCTGAGCCAGCACTTACCGAGCACTTGCTGTATACCAGGCACCTTGAGAACCTTCCCTTACCACAGTTCTACGGGCAGATCCTCTGAGTAGCCCCATTTAACAGATGGTGAACTAATGGTCATGGAGGTGCACACCTTGCCCAAGATGGTTCAGTTCACTAGTGGAAGGGCTGTACCTCAAAGCCAGGACTGCCTGATACTTGATGGCCATTTTGTAACACCTTCCACTAGCAGAAAAATAGGACTGGACTCAACCTAAAAATTGACACCAAGTATTTTAAATGTCTTCATTCTTTTAGCACCTCTTCCTCCTCCTGCCAACCACTCCCCCCCCCTTTTTTTAACAGAGAAGTAGCCTCGGGACAGCATGTGGTTCTAGCCTGCTCAGCTCTGAAAAAAATGTACAGAGACATCTTAATACGAGGAAAAGATGGTGTACCTCGAAAGTGTGGTGAGCCGGGGAAGGATGAAAAGCTGGCTGAGGTGAAGCTCTTTGTGGTCCATCTGAGTGGGTCATTTGAGGTCATCTCTGGACGCTTACTCAAAAGAAAAGGACATTTTATGCCCCCTGAGTTATTGCAGTCCCAGTTCGATACTCTGGAGCCCCCATCAGCTCCAGAAATTTTCATTCAAATCAATGTGAACAAAACTCTTTCAGAGATCACTGCTACCATTATGAAAGCTCTTAAATGAAATGTAAGTCATTTCATCTCAGTGGTCCAGAACAGAATTAGGCATAAATTTCTTTCCTATCCCAAATCAGGTTCCAGCATCCTTGCTGATACTGTATTCAAAATTCCAGTTAAGGTGATCATAACGTGTTGATATATATACTTGTTTGGGTGTATTTTTAGGAATTTGTGATATTCTTGTCATGCTCTGGCACATTTGGAGAAGAGAGGGAACTATGAAAGCAAAGCTTCAACTGAAATTTAAATTCATGTGACCCAATCAAATGATCAGAGGATATTATATGATCGATGCTGAAATCATTACCTTATTTAGAACATTCTTAATCATGCTGTATTCAGACAAATAAATGAAACTTAGCTATCCTTGGCATCCCTTGGAAACTGGTCTTGTGTGCATAAACATGTCCTATATTGACCACTCACCAGCAAGTCATTTCACACCATATACCTCCTAATCCTCTGTCCTTAGGTCATTTCAAGATAAGTAAGTAAAAAGCATATATAGTGCATGGATATAAAAAACTGCAAAGATGAAACTTGAGTGAATGAAGTGTGGGACTTGCTGATCCAGTCTGCCCATCCCCGTTTTTCAGAGACCTGTGTGGCACCAGGCTGGTGTCAGTGCACTTGCCCTCCTGCTGTAAAACCCATCAGTGATGGACACCAGGCATGCAAGAGAGAAACTGTCCAGAGCTGCTGTGGCCAAGACGTGAAAGGAAACCTTCCAATGGGCAGCAGTGTGCTAGTGACAGCTGGGCCGGGTGAGGCTGTGCAGGAGGTTGGAGGAGCTGGTACGTTGCTGGCATACAGCTTACTGGGTACCAGCTAGGTTAGCTGCAATCTGGCCATCATGGGTTTGAGCCTTTCCCCCCTTGGGCTCCAGGAAGATGCCTCCTTCTCTCTCTATTCTAACCAGGGCCACAGGACCCAGCCGCTCTGCAGGGCCACTGGTTGGCTCTGGCCAGAAAGTTAGTTTGGGAACCAATTATCTGTTTTCTTTCACAAAGGCATGCAGTTTTGTCCCGGGAACTACAAACAGAGTATCAGTGTGGGGTGCCAGTGGGATTAAAAGGGCACTTCTGGGTGGACAGACCTTGCCTAAGAGAATCTGGAAGCCTGGATTTTCTTCTCTGCTAGATTGGGGTACCTCTTGCTCAGCCTCAGTTTACATCAACTCTCATATTTAGGGTCCAATCAACATACTCCAACTGGATGACAGTCACCCCTGCTCATAGAGAAAGGACTCTGTCCACTGTCCTCAGTGAGTCTATTCTAGGTACTGTGACGGGCACTCTGGAGGGTGTGAGGACCTGTAACACAAAGCCCTGGCTCTTAGTGATCTTAAGTTGGGGGTGGAAAGATAGAACATTTCATATTCTCTGGCACAGGCTAGTGTTCTAAGTGAAGGCAGTTCTTCACAAAAAGAATTGGTTTTCAAATATCCCACTGGATATTCATTTAGGACCAAATGAAAACACCTGTTTATAATAAGAGGAGCACAGAATCTACCTCTTTTATATATAAAAATTTTTGCAGTTTTAATATCCACTGAAATTTCCAAGACTGCAGTAAGGGGACAATTGTATTCCATTTTATTTTTAACTTTACCAAGAGTTGCTTACTATTTCAGAAAAATCATGGTGTACCTACAGCCTGCATTTGTAATTCTTCACTGATGTGCTGATGAGCACAAGCACCCACCTGCTTCATCGTGTTTGTCTAGCGTAGCCATGTCCAAGCATTATATATTGAAACCCATTACTTTATTACAAGTTACTGTTTTTTTGTACTTTAGAGTTAAGGCATCATATTTACTATTTGCTTAGGTAAGGTTTATTAGCAATTAGTTTCAAGATGGTAAAAGAGGCATTAGAAAATAGTTGTTAAAAAAAGGCAGTATTGAGTCTGGTGGGATTGAGTACTGCTCCCATGTTCCCAAGCATGGCCATAGGGAGGCCAACATGCAAGTCAGTAATGCCCTCTGGTGGCCCAGGGGGACACAGCAAGCACAAACTGCTCCCAGTCCTGAGAACCCCTCCAACAGCCAGGGGTCATGTCCCTCCCTGGGTGAAGGGCAGTGGAATGCTGCTCCCTGCCTAGCCCTGACCACAGCCAGGCCCAGACTCCATAACCTGAGAAGGAGCAGGCATGGTTTGCAATGGATCAAAAATGGATGCCAGTGAAAGATTTCCTCAACCCTCAAATACCACTTACCACCCCCTCTGGCAGAACAACTCTCTACCTCGCCCCCTTTCACTCCCCACCACTGGAGGAAGTTTGGATTAAACATTTTCTTCTCCTATAAAATGGAGACACTGCCTGCCCCATACAGTTGCGAGAGATGATATACATGCAAAGTACTAACTGCTCAATAAAAGTTATTAGCTCTTATCATACTTGTAATCCCCTGGAGTCTGAGGGAGTGTGGACACAGGACAAAAACTCCCACTCCTGTTTTTCTGACTGGGGGGTGGGAGGAGCTTATGAACGCCTTCTAAGTATGTGAATCTTAAGTCTATGGGCTCTGACAGAACTTAACCCATGCCAGAGTTTCCTTCCATCCCTCTCCAACCCTTGACCAGGTCAAATCAGATACTTCTACATCAATGTTATAGTAGCATTTTTTGCAATATCCAAATGATGGAGGTGTCTATCAACAGATGAATAAAATGCAGCATATCCATAAAATGGGATATTATTCAGCCCTAAAAGATGATGAATTACTGATTCAAGTGCTGTAACATAAACTTTTAACACATGCTAAGTGAAAGAAGCCAGACATAAAAGGTCGCATACTACATTCTATTCATATAAAATATCCAGAATATGTAAATTCAAAATCAGAGACTGAGGTTAGCGGGGGAATGGTGAGTGAGTGCTTGCTGGCTACGGTGTTTCAGGGTGATGAAAAAATTTTGGAGGATTGTTATACCTCTGAATTATATACTTTAAAATGATTATAATAGTAATTGTTGCATCTATATTAACCACAATTTTTAGCAACAAATAAAACCACAAGCCTTCCCCACAAGAGCCCAAACTATCTCACTAACCTTATTACCATATGCATGCTACCCTTGGGAGAGACTCCCATAGAAAAAGGGCTCAATCAGATGTACCTCATTCCTTGTACAATATTTAGCAAGCAGTTAAGTCACTACTACCTCAGAAAATGTGAACGTGGAGAAGAAAACTTGCTCCTCCAACATTTTCCCCTTCTGGGATCATAGTATGTGATGGATTAAAATCGTCACAAATTCACAAATTCTTTGACATTCTACCCATCAAGCAGTGGGACCTATGATTCTTAAAGTTGGGCACAGTAAAACTGCTTGACCATTAGAATATAGGAGAAATGATGCTGGGCCAGTTTGGGGACCAAACCATAAAAAACTGACAGCTTTTTTTTTTTAAAAAAACACTTGCTCCTAAACCTACCCACCAAGTTGTGAAAAAGCACAAGTAGCATTGTGGAAAAGCCCATGTGAGAGGAACTAAGACCCAGATAAAAGCACATGGCAATTAACCAGGTAAATAAGACCTTTGGAAAGTAAATTCTCCAGACTCAGTCAAGTTGCCGCAGCAGAATTCACATCAAGCCCTGCCAAAATTGCTCATTTATGAACAAATGATTTTGTTCTAAGCTTTTTGGGTGGGGTGGGGGGGGGGGGGGGGGTGTCGAGGGGGAGTTTTTTATGAAACATTAGATAACTATAACAGTGGAAAGTAGAGTGGAGACCGTGTCTGAAGCTTTAAAAAAAAAAAAAAAAAAAGTCTAGTTTGAATACACAGCAACAACTTTATACCCCATTAAAGAATTAGGTCCACATTCAGCTTTGGTCTTTTGAAGGAAACTATACTGGGAGCTCCTCTATGTGCTTAGCTCTGTTCTAAGCAGGGAGAGGTCAAGACAGACTGGGTGGTGGGTCTGGGACAGGTTACATAATAATTAGGGAGTCTGAAATACAAACGTTAACATGTACAAATTGGAATTATAATCTGAGGGTGTGCTTTATCACACTGTCCCAGCTCTTGAAATCTCAATGTTGATCTATTTAATCTCACTGAAGCAAGGACATTGGTATGGGGAGTACTGTTTCTCCACTTCTGAAAGGGTTGACCACAAAAAATAGTCTGCATAAGCTGGGAAGGTACCACTCCTACCAACAATGAAAGGCAGCTCTAGGAGCATTGGAGATCCTGCTCCCCAGCCTATGTCCTCAGTTTTGGCTCAAATAAACTCTTACGGAAATTCTCAAAAAAAAAAAAAAAAAAAAAAAAAGGCGGGGGGGGGGACAGCTCTAAGGAAACCAATGAACAGAGAAACCTCCCTCACACTTCAGTTCATATAACAGAGGTGTATGCTTATTTATCTACATATTTATTAAATCTCTTCTGGAGATCATTCCAATTTTTTAGTATATGTGCTGCCAAAGCAAGCACTATTTTGGAGATCAAAAGCTAGTAATAGCTCCTCTTTTTATTTTTTGGTAGAAAACAATTCCTTCATACCCTCCTCCTAAATCAAGTCCCCCTTTTTTTTATCCATTTATTTTTGATACAAAAAACATTTCCTCCAATAAGTGATATCACACATTGAAGCCATGACTCATTCTCTCAACTCTCAATCACATTACAACTGATTGAACCCTGGTGAGAACCACTTGCAACTCTCCCAGCACACGCTCCACGGACGGTGTCAGCAGCCAAACGAGTCTGCCGGAGACATGCACATTTCTCTCTCCGCACACACACAGGCTCATTCTCATTAGAATATAAACACGCTATAGTACTTACCATCTTAAAAGAACATAAAAGGCAAACTTCTTCTACACTACCACCACTCCCCTCACCAGTTACTGCCCCCATTTCTCTGATTTTCTTTACTTCAAAACTCTTTCTCCTAATACCACCTTGGTCTACTGTAACCAGAATTTTGCACTCATCATTCTATAAAACCCGTACCATACCCATGAAGGTCCTTTTTCCTATTCAGTCTATACAGAGCATCTGAAGTTAACAGCATTTAACCCAGTTCATTTACCATCTTTCTCCTTGTGAAAAAGTTTCACTTACTTTCAAGACTTCTCTTAAGTTTTCACTTTACTACCTGCCTGTTGGTTTGTTTCCTCTAACCTACCTCAACTGCAAGTTAGAGTATACCAGGGCTCAATCTTCCCAAAGTGTTTATCAATTCTAAAATTCATCTAATCAGTATTTCTCAAACTTGGCACTATTAACTTTTTTAAAAAAATATTTTTGCACTATTTTTTTTAATCTATGCATTTTTTATTTTTTTTTAACTTCATCCACTCCTCCACCCACCTCCCCTTTGGCAACCATCTGCCTGTTCCCTAGATCAATGGGTCTGTTGTAT